CTCTGTTGTTTCCAGAGGTTCTTTTTTCCCTGATCACGATTCCTTTTGATCATCGGACTTATGAGATTGATCACTCTTCGTTATCTTAACCTGTTACATTTTCGTAATTCTTTATCAATGATTCTGATTTTTCCTCTGCATTTCTGTTTTTATGTTATTTTTGTCTTCTTTATTTAAATTAGAATGTTGCTATTCATCCCCCTGTTTATTTTTAAAGGATTGTCCTCCTCCTATTAAGTCTATTCTACCTGTACTACTTCCTAGTCCCCTTCTTAATCCTCTTCGTCATCATTGTTAATGTCTTTATCGTCCTCATTATACATGTATCATTCACTTTTATCATCTTCGACAGTCACTGATCCGTTTCCACTGTGTTTTTTCAACTGAAAAGAACATTTGTATTCCCTATTGCTATATCAATCAAAACTGGTATATATGACTTTTTATGCTTTTATGTAATATTTCTGACATTACATTCAAAACAAGTGAATGTTGAAAGTGTTTTGAATAAATGTTACTTTAACACAACGGACAAACCTTTATCAACCATTATGTAATTATGCACCTGTACAGGGGTTCCCCCTTCTTGTGTTACCTTCAACAAATTTCCTGATTTCAGCATAAATACATTATCTGTACACTATTTCTGTCAAACAAGAAAATGAGAAATTGAGAACTGCACCTGTTAAATGTTCTATGTAAGATATTTATCTTAATTCTAATAACCTTGAAGTACTTTATCCAAGGACACTGTACCAAATTTGGCTGATCTCTAACCAGTGAAGAAAACAGTTTAAAAAACTCAGTCATATTGCAAGTACTCCTACATTGGTTTGATTTTTGTTTGTTTAACGTCTCGCCTCTTTCGAGTATTTTTTCACTCATATTGAGATACTAACAGTTGCTGGTGGAGGACTGCAAAGTTAGACCAGTACTCGGGATACGGCCTTCGAGCAGTGAGGGATCTTTTTCGTGCCTGCAGCTATTGCGACACAATACCTCGGTTTATATGGTGAAATCCGAAGTACCGCTCTCCTCGTCCTTCTGTGGGATTTGAATCCACAACGTAAGGATCACTTCGTTACTCCGCGAGTCTCGAGCAAACGCTCTAACCCTTGCGCAACTTTGGGGACCCTATATTGGTTTTACAGATAATTACATAATGTAAACTATTTTAACTTAAGAAAAGCTGTGATCAATATCATTAAGATTGATAAAATTTATATTGCATACTTGTCAATTCTTATTGACCTAATACAAAATTACCATCTGATAAGCTTATCCAAATTAAGTTTGGTAATGAATGACAAATTTCCATTAAAAAGACACAGAATTCATACAGAAGAAAGAAGTTCAAATGTAATATATGTTTTATCCTAAATGTCAATCTCAAACCACGTTTTACAGCATTTCTTTTAAAAGAAAGATTCTAGGTATTTTAGTGTATGAATAATAAAACATTAACATATCATAAAAAGTATTTGACATAAAATGCATTCAGAATAAACATTGTAAATTTTTGTTCAATGCATTTAAGTTTCAAAAATCTCTAGAACCTAACCTATCCTTTCATCCTATCAGAAACTGAATATTTCAATAAGTGACTCACGTAATTGTTAGGGTTTTATTTTACAAATCCTCTTTTTCACCCAATCATAAAATGGGAAAAATTCTATAAAATGGATCATTTATTTTTTTTAAATTTTTCATCCAGCCAATGAAAAATATGTGAAAGGTTCTACATTGTTAATTAAGTACGTTTATCATTTTGAGTTAAAATATTAGTGCTTCAGATATATCTTCCTCCTCCCCATCTTGACTATTATATTGTTGTTTTTGCGAGTTAAATGTAATGATCCTCCAAAAGGCTTGTCAGTAAACCATTTGATACCGATTTGAAAGTGTTGATGTGATAGTGTGCGAAAGAAGAAATAAATTGGTAAGTATATTGTTAATTCTGTAATTTCTTAATCGAATCATACATGTACATTCATTTTATATCCAAATTTTCTATTACATGTAGAAAATATTCAAAATTTCCTAACGATACGATCCTTTAGTGGAGACTTTTTTGATGGTTATTTGTCTGTCCGGCTGTCTGTGTTTCTGCTGGATTTTAAATTTGGTATAATTCTAATATTTTATTTGTCTGAAATATTAAATAATATTTTTTTACTCAAAGATGAAAGAGAAGCAATTCTAGAATTGTAGGAGATACACATTTCCTGTCTCTTTGATCGAGTTATTTTCCCTGTTTTTCTTTTTTCTTCTGCAAATGTTTTTGAAATCTGCTCTTTGCAATAGATTCGTAAATGATAATGAATAGAAAATTAGTAAGCGAGCTTTGAATCTCTTTTATGCTGAGTTTCATCGGTCACTGCTCCATTTCACACTTCCTCGATGAAAGGAAAAAAATTGCGGGTCCTACATGATAACTGAACCGATAGCATGTTTACTTACTAGTATTCAAAAATGGCGCACGCCAAGCACTTAAACAATGTGGGGCTTAGTATTATCATGAAATACACTATTAAAGAAGAAAATAAGATGCATACATACTTAAGTGCAAACAAAAGTGCGAACTGAAGACATTGACGCGAATAATTGTTTACGTACTGTTAATTTCTTTCAAATTTTTTTTTGCGCAGATTTGATCTGTTCAACATCCTGTTTTTGCCGTCAGTCAAGTATACAGTGGCGCCTCGTTTATCCGGACGCCTCTGTCCCCAACGAAATCGTCCGGATAAATGAATCGTCCGGATAATTGAATCACATCTCAAAAAGCACTCTCTAAGTATGTATGTATGCACATTCTTGTTTCAAATGTGACAGCAAAGAAAAAAAACTTTTAAATTATATTTTGGTTAATTGTTTTAAAAGCAGTAATTGATTAATGAAAAAATATATTAAAATGTAATTTACACATGAAAAAAATGGATGGGCAATTTTATGCCGAGACCTCTTTTTTTTTTAATTCGCCTTCTCTTAGGCATGTGACTTCATGGGTTGAGCAAATTTTGATCTACTGTTGTTTTATTTCGCCATATATTATAATTATTGAAGCTCATATGATATGACAGAACTGTTCAGCATCATCATTGAAAATGTTCAAATATAAACTAGCCCCGTATATTCCCCGTATATTAATTACACAGGGTTACTATAAAATTAACTGAACACTGCAAGCTAACTCAAACAAAGTATTAAAAACATTCGTAAACACAAGCCATCTTCATGGTTATCAATATTATTTTTTTTCTAAAGACGCTAAGTCTGAATTTCGATCATTAAAAAATACCTTGAAAAACGTAACTAACTTCTGTACGTAACGCCAGTTTTAAATGTAATGGACGTTTGCAAACGGTAGTACATTAAATAGAGTTATTTCTTCAATTATGTACCTTTCTATGCTGTATAGTGGGGAAAAAGCGTTTCAAATACATTTACATTTTTTAGAAAATGGAATATCGCATTTTAAACTAACGCAATCGACATGATAAAGAGCATTACGAAATCGCTCGTTATTTATTGTTCATTATATTTACAACTCTCCAAAATTCTCCTGAATTTACCGATGTATATACGGTTAGCAATATGATTTTGAACGAATTATTATTTAATTAATGCACACTGTCAGCTAGATTCTTTGAGCTTCAACGTGTGATTGAATTGGGGTAAACACACGCTGATTATAGACGCTATTGTTTGTAGGTCACAAGTAACCTCCTTCAAACTGACTGCATGGCCAATGTTTTTACAACAATTAACACGAATGCAAGATAAGTGTGAAAATGTCGTTTCTTGAAAAATTACCGTCCGGATAAACGAGTCATTTTTCAACGAACTATTATGTTTTGTAGTAGAAATTGACCGTCCGGATACGGAACGAGAATTTCCGGATTAATGAGACAAAATAACGTGGAAAAAATCTGTTCCCAAAAAGTATCGTCCGGATGGTGAAGCGTCCGGATAAATGGCGTCCGGATAAACGCGGCGCCACTGTACTCACATTACCTACGACTTTTAACTCAGATATTACAGACAGTCACCTTCTTCATGACACAAGTTACGATCCCTTAATCAACTAGTAAATTTAAAAAAGTAAAGTGTGCTGAAAGGGGAATTTAAGATTTGGTACACCTATTCAATCTCGGGAAAAGACGCAAACAAGAGTGTCTTCTGTAAATGTCTAAATCTAAAGCTGCCGTCAGCAGCGTGGCGCAGTGATTAGAGCGTTTGCTCTAAAGTCGCGGAGTAAGTAGATGATCGCGGGTTCGAATCCACTGTCTTTCGGATGAGACCGTCTAAACTGAGGTTCCGTGTCGCAGCTCGTGTTGGCACGAAAATATTCCTCACTGTTCATAGGTCATAATATAAGTGGCAACTACAGGTCAAAATTTGGAGCCCTCTTCCAACAAGTAATGTCGACTCAGTATGCGTGAAAAACGCTCGAAGGTACGTTAAACAAGCAAACAAAATCACAAAATCTAAAGCTGCCTAAAGCTGAAACTAGTTCTTATCATTTGGTTGATTCTTGCTGGCAATGAAATACAGGCATTTAGGTTTAGTAAATGTATTAATCATACATTGTAAATATCGTTGAATGGAAAATCGTTGGGACGACCATACTTTTTTTTTTTCGTCACTTGCACCACAAGGCTCTAAATATGTGTATATACACTGTATGCGATTAAATTGAGGGGTACACAAATGTTGCTGAGCGCTTTTTATTTGTGGTGGAGAAAAAAGTAGAAGGGTGAAAAGGTAAATTGAACGGAGTTGTTCCGCTGCAGTATTTAGTTTATTTAATTACATATAATAAGTAATTTATACCCAAATATATACTTTAAAAAAATGCACTAAATTTGACATTAGTTTACAAAACAGCAGTGCAATGAGAATGTCTTTATTATGATATATATTGCTAATAGAACAAATACCAAAAGGGCTTGACATATTCAAGTTAAAGTTTTAAATTTACGTTTAATTTCAGTTTGGAAATGGGTCAGAAGTTTTGTACAGTAGCAGTTTTGAGTGTTTTGATGCAGATTCGTGGAAATGTGGATTGCTGTTCATCTGAACTAAAGTGTAGATGTTACAATTTCTCTAATGATATTCACGCCGATTGCTCGGATCTAGGACTTAAACTGTCACCGTATTTCTGGACAAATGTCACACGAATCAATCTCAGCCATAACAGGTTGATACAGCTCCCAAACAGAAAAAAATTACCAGATAACGTAACTTATCTGGATCTTTCCCACAACTCTATTAGAACATTTAGAAACTTTTCATTCAAGGGACTGTGGCAGCTTTCAGTTCTGAAACTAAATTCAAACAGGTTTCGAATGACTGAAAACCTAAGTTTGAATGTTTTTGCAGATTTAATCAACATTAAAAAAATTGATTTATCCGAAAATACTGAGCTCACTTTTCGAATTTTACCAATTTTGACATACGGTCTTCAAAATTCCACTATTTTTTCCCTTTACTTAAACAAAATCCATTGCACGTTTGGATTAGGTACAGAAATAAGGAAAGATGATGTTAGATATTTAAAACACACCAACCTTACGGAAATTCATTTATCAAGTAACAGAATAGAATTAATGGAAAAAGGAGCAATTCATTTATTTCCAAAAACAATAAAAAGAATATCAATCGCTGATAACAGACTGACATTTGGAACATACGTCTTCGAGCTTGAAACATTAAAGAATTTGGAATGGATAAACGCAAGTATACAATATTTATCCCATAATCCAAATGAAATTATTCACAACAAAACGTGTGTTGAAAATGAAAATAAAAACGAATATCTAATAAATACGCAATATTATTCAACTGGTCGCATACATAAGGCCGGTGAGTGGAGGAAGTTATTTATGGCATATGAAAATAGAAATGGTGGAAATTTTACAAGATCTTATCTACAGAAAAGTTTACAAAACAGCACGAATGGAAGCTTTCCATTGCCACCAAATATAAAAAAGGTTTTTTACAACGAAAGTGGGCTACGGTATGAGATACCAACCATGAGTTTGTCCGAAAACAACGTGGAGGAGTTATATGTACAGAACAATATTCTATATTCATGGAAGGGTCCTGTAGAAGGAATGAAAAGACTTCGAATACTGAACTTGTCAAACAATTTCTGCTCTGCAGTCTCCAAGTCTTTTTTTCAATACCTTGGGAATCTCTCAGAATTATACCTGAACAATAACTTATTGGGTTTTAGCTTGTCACCAGATACAGAAGGACAAATATTTGCAAGTCTTACAAACTTGACTCGCTTAGAGCTGAGAGCAAATAGAATTTCAAATCTGCCATATCAAGTTTTCAAAGAACTTCGAAGCATTATGGAGTTAGACCTGGCCGACAATACGCTTACCACTCTAGACTTTAGCATTTCTACTTTAAAGAACTTACAGTTTCTTGATTTATCTGAAAACCAAATCCAGTTTCTTACCGACACAAATATGAAAGAGATTGACCGACAGACAGATAAAGTTAGTTTAACTTTAAATCTTTTAAGAAACCCGATTTTGTGTAATTGTAAAACATTGCAATTTCTAAAGTGGATGGTAAAAGGACACGAAACTAAGAAGGTCAATTTTAAGTCATTTGAAAACTACTCTTGCACGACATCATCCCGAAGCGAGCCATTTATGTTTTCAAAAATTAAAGAAAATATCGAAAAGCTAGAAAAAGAATGCAATTCCTATATGTATTTGATTATCTCCGTGTCATTCATCATTCTCCTTTTCTTTTTTATTCTCTTGTTAGGGTTAGTGTATAGGTATAGGTGGAAAATTCGTTATTTTTACTATATGACCAAAAGCCGATATCATGGATATAAATCTGTAAGAAGTGATAGCCAATCAGATTTCAAATATGATGCTTTTGTTTCGTATGCAGATGAAGATTTGCCGTTTATTCAGAAAATGATTATAGAATTAGAAAAAAATAATGGGATGCGTTTATGTATTCACCATCGAGATTTTGTTCCAGGATATGATATTTCCGAAAATATTATTACTGCTGTAAACAAAAGTAGAAAAACTGTCATTATTTTGTCTCCAAACTTCATCAAATCCAGTTGGTGTATGTATGAGCTCCATATTGCAAAGATGGAAGAAATCTATTCTCGGGATAATGAAGACGTCCTCTTTTTGATATTTTATGAAGCAGTTCCTGTGGATAAAATACCTCTAAGTGTTATGGATCTTATAAATCAAAGGTCTTACGTTGAATTTCCTAACGATGAATATGGGGATCCGGTATTCTGGAGGAGAATTTGTAAAACTCTTAGTGATGAAGTTTTATGCTAAGTACAAGAGTGGAACTATTTCCCAACGTTGAGTAGAATGGATGTACTCGAATGTTTAACAAACAGATTTGACATTCCAGGTTAATACAATTTATGCAGAATCTAATTTTTTTTTTTGGAAGGGGGGTGGGGGGTGGAGTTCATTTATCTTTTTTATTCCTATTTTGTCTTTTGTTTCGTTTTGTTTGATTTTTTTTTTTTTTTTTTTTTTTTTTTTTTTTTTTTTTTTTGCAGTGAACATGCTATGTAAAATTTGCTAGATCACATTGATTTTACATTAATCAGAACCAGTTTCTTCAATGGATTAGGGTTTTATTTTAAATGTTCATTGATGCATGATTTATGCATGAATTAAGTAGGATATGCTATATATGTATAGTTTCATTTTTTTTATTTGTTGCTTCTTGAAGGTGTTCAGATTTACTTTTTCCACACGTTTTCAATCATTTGCAATATACTGATGCAATGAAGAATGATGTGGATATTTAAGAAATGAATTTAATTTTTGAAGATTCATGAGGACATGAACTACGACGTTTCACGCCGGCATATTTCATGAAGCGCGTTAGCGCTTCATGATAAATATGCCGGCGTGAAGCGTTGTAGTTCATGTACCTCATGAATTTTCAAAAATTAAATTCATTTCTTATATTTACATTATTTTTCTGATGAGTTTCCACAAATTACGCCAATCAACTGTCAGTTTTGAAGTGAAACAGCTTGCACTATAGTTTTGACGTGAAGTACGGTATTATGACGTAACAATGGAGATATTCATGCTCATCTCATGGTAGTTCATGAGAAAATGAACAGTCTTTTAATTTGCAAAGAATCTTAAGGAAAACTACTTGGAAATGTAAATATTTGAAAATGGAAAATCTTTAAAGCCTTTGATATGTCTCATTGGTCTTTTTTTGTGTCTGTACTAATGTGTGTCCATTTTGTTTTCAAAATATTGCTGTATTTCACAGGGGATGCGTAATCCTCCTAGGCAACTGATCCCATCTCTGGTGCTTCCAGCGGTCCCTCTACTCGGTCTTACTTGTAGAAACTACGTTAATTTTATTTTCTGTAGATATTCGTACCCTATGTTATTCTGTAGCCAATTTCAGGCATAAGGATGTTTTGTACATATATAATGAATAATTATATCTTACTTAATTTATTTAATCGGATATATTTTAGTGTTCTATTTCCAGTTGATGATATTACATGTACCTTATCATGTATTATTTGTTATGATGTATGGGAAACGTTTGCCAGACTAAAGAGGTTCCATATGGGAATATATGTGGGAATTCAGCTTCTTTTTATAAGTAGTTGATTGACTGATAGCTTGTACAGCATAATTTTATTGGAAAATACATCATTTCAAAGAAAATAGGAGGCTGTATAAGCAAGCAAGTACTTTGTTAAGAAAGATTTCAGCTAGTAGTATGGCGGCAACATTTTAAAGTTAAAGAAGAAAACAGAGAAACTTCTGTAAAAGCGTAATTCTTTTTTAGCTTGGTTAAAAATTTACTACTACACTTGATGATACAAAATTGTAATTCTGAAGAAGAATAAGTTTTGCTTTTTCTAAACGTTATAATATACAGAAACCCTATTATTTGTGTACCATTTATATCATGCTTCTGATATATAATAAAAATGCGAATGTAATTGATCATTCAACTTGGTGTTATTAAACCTTTTTATATTTTGGAGTTTAAACCTGGCCTATTTGATTTTAAATGGATCATATGATTAGAGAAGTTAAAAAAACATTTGACAAAAATACGGAAAATATAGATTATGAAATTATCACCAGCTGTTTTAAATGTATTCGGTTCTTGAAACCGTTCACGGTAGCTCAGTAGGTAGAGCGAGTGCTTGCTCCGTGATTGGGAGGTCGTGAGTTCGAATCTCGGCGTCGCGACTGACTAAGTCGATAACAAATGCGTAGCAACAGTTCTTCGCTATGCGCTCGACACTTTAAAGAGAAAGTTGCGGGTCCTTCGGATGAGACCTTAAAAACCGAGGCCCCGTGTCACGGCAGGCGTTGGCACAATAAAGATCCCTCACTGCTCAATGGGGCTGGGTGCCGAGTATAGATCTAAATTTGAAGCCCTTCACCTATATGACCTTGATGACCTCTCTACATGAGTGAAAAAGTCTCGAAAGGAACGTAATTAACAACACATAAATCAATCAATCAATCATATTCTAGTATATCACAATTGAAGTTGATATTCCTCTGTTTGCAATTGCTATACCCTTCATTTGTATTCTACATGTTTCTAGTAAACAGGAAAATTCTTTAGGATGAAATTCAGTTGCATAACACACTGCATAACAGCCTCGCATAAGGGCCTGAATCCTGAGTCAATTGTCCTCTTTCTATTTACAATTTCTTAGTAAACCCCTGTAGCTTCCGTCTGCTGAGTTTACTAACGTAATTTTGTGAAAATGATTTATATGATTGATACAAATTTTCCAAAAATGTTGCAGATAGACCCTTCATATGTCCGAACGGAGATTCCGAACTTCCTGAATATTTCTGACAATATCGGAAATTCTCAAGCCGTTTTAGTGACGAAAATATGAGTCAAATGAAAAATCATGTTTAGTGATGATGCAAACGAAAGTTTTGTTGCATGGAAATAGCATTAAAATCTTTTTGTAAATCATTTTAAGTCAGTCGTTGCTATGATTAATCTAACATCTTACCAAATCGGATGTCTCCCGCATTCGACAATGTGCTGCACACTTGAAACCTGATACTTAATGCTTGACCAAATGTGATCGCCAGAAGGCGTTCACAAGAATTCTTTTTGGAAAAAGAAATCTTTTATTCTTTTCTTTTCTGATTATATTATTCATATACCCGTTATATGTTATCATACATTCTGTTCTTGTCTATTTTGAGAATGCAAAAATTTACAACTGAATATTTTCACGTCTAGACGAAGCTTGATTGAGGGATAGTGATAATTTATAGAGTATAACGAGTTTATTTTTTTTTCTATAAAGAATGAGTGGACTTCTACCCAGGTGTAAATGAAGTGAATCCAAAATATTTTACAAGCATTAGCAAGATCAACATATACATGATTATATCATATAGAACATCTGTGCAAAAGCAATATCTTAACTTGTTGCCAGGAATCAAACTTGAAATAACGATACATTAGTGTCGTCGTCCGGAATTTGTCATTTATCTGGAGTGGTTCTTAGGTCACATAATCAATTTTAATAAGAGGCGGCGAGGCTATTGATCGGCGTCAGTGTCAACATCTCTCTCTCTCTCTCTCTCTCTCTCTCTCTCTCTCTCTCTCTAGAAATTCGAATATATTAGTGTTATATTTCAGCGATGTCAAAATGATATTCAAAGATTTCTAAGGTAAATCAATATTGTGAGGACTCACAAAAATATAGCAATATTTAATTTGCTAAATTAAATTCTGAGAATGGCAGACCAAACAAACACGTGATATAAATCGAGGTCATCACAAGTACACTCGCAGCTGATGAATCGTAATATTCATATTCAACAGGTCAACCGAAGTTAAATCAAGATTACAAAGTCATAACAATGGAAGCAAGAAGTTTGTTTGGATTTTTTTTTGTATAATTAAGTCCACTTATTCTTTACCCATTGATTATCTTCATGTATAAACTAAGTATGATAGAGGGTTAGAATACTTTGCACAGTATAGGTTTTTAAAACATTTAAATTCGTTGTCTTTGCTATCGCAATTCGAACTTAAAAAGTTTTTTATGTATTATAATTTTAAAATTAATCAATTTGATTTGTTTGTTTGTCTATTGTTAAACGTCCCTCTCGAGAATTTTTAACTCATATGGAGACGCCTATCAATTTAAAAAAAAACTTGAACTATATACTCTTTTATTCAGGTGACCTTCGCTGCCTATTATTTATAAAGTGATATATCTCAAATATGAATAATCAAAGGGGAATAATTTTTCTCAAAGCAGAGTAAAAAAAATTCCTTCATGATCAATAGACCTCTTTTCTCACACGAAAATCCATGACCCAGTGGTCAAAAATTTTATAAATCTCTGAAAAATACCCTTGTTCAATAAAACTGTGTACTTGGTTTGGCTGCTAAATGACCTGGAGTTGAGAAGGAAATTTCCAAAGAATTGATGCATTTTGACTACACGATCAATAGAGCCTCGCCTTTACACCAGAGCCCCTAACTCAGGGGCCACAAAGGACAAGGTGCGTTTGGTACAAAATTTGGCCCCGTGTCAAAATTAAATAATATTCCTTAAAACTCTTTGAGAGTGTGTATATTTTCATGAAATTATCAATATATGCATGTACAGAGCTTTATTTATGTTTTATATAAACGTAAAAGTAGCATAGTTTACGATAACGTTGTGATATTTTGACGTTGCTTTTTGCGACGTCATGAACAAGAATGGGACGTCATGTTTTAAAATAAATCCAGCTTACATGTATATTTTACTATGTACGTGTATTAAATCTCATTTTCATATAAACGTACATTTCGATGTATTGATATACATGTGATAACATACTAGTTCAATGCTTACTAAATTATTTTTCATAATTAAAGACAAATCTTTAAATCAATTGGTATGGTTGGCTTTGAAAATTTTTGAATCATAAGGGAAAAAAGGGGTGTACATGTACAGTACATTCTAAGCGGATTTCTGACTTTCCGAGCCCCGCACTGGCACAAGCAAATTATTGGTTTTATTTTTTTAACTTGACGATCCGTAATTGCCAAGCTTTGTAAAAAAAAGACTTAAAGGACCATTAAACTTTTTCTTGGATTTTGATTGCATGTATTCAAGGAAATGATTTTGTGTGTAATAATATATCAGTAAGGCTCGCAAGATTTCGATCTTCCTGCTTATCTGCATTATATTTTCAAAAACAAAAAACAAAACAAAAAACAAAACAAAGCAAAAAAAAAAAAAAAAAAAAAAAAAAGTTTCCGCTTCCTACTTGACACTGCTTTTCTGTGG